CTACAATATAATGCATTAATATTAGTCAATATTGTTCCTCCAGGAAGTAATAAGGTCTCTCTTCCAGAGCCCTTAGTTAATCTTGTACTATCAGATATTGTATTAATATTGGCCTTTTTTTATAACCAAATAAGAGAAAAATTATCCAAAAGACATAAATCTTCATTACTCATCTTGGATCCATTTGAAGACTGAAGAATTTTATTTTTTTGATAAAAAATAAAAGTACACCATAAGAAATACGGAAAGACTAACAACACCAACAACAACATAAGACAACTTAAGTACTACTTGAAAATAAAAACAACTTTAGAACGAGACCGGAAAAAAGTTCTGAAAATAAAATAACAACATAATTGCATTCCACAGTAAAATGATCAAACTTTAGTTTTGATCCCCAAAGAAGTCTTCGACTTCCAAATGAGTAAGATCATCGAGGCCTTCAAAATCATCATCATTCAAAATAAAATTTGCCTCGGCATTATCATCATTTTTGTTTGAAGGCCCTGCCTCAAAATCAGTTTTAAAGGTCAAGTTAGACTCCACTAGGGTATTAGCAGAAGATGCTCCAACAATATTTGCCTTTCTTTTGATAGAGCCTGACAAAATGCTCAGGTGCACGACGTTCAATTTTCCAGCGACCTTTCATGCCACAGCGATAGTAGTTACTGCTTTTTCCTCTTGAAGGATTGTTTTGAGAACCCATAGTATTCTCTCGTTTTCCATGACCACCACGATGACGATTATTATATCGTCTCTTTTCATTGCCTTGTCCACGTACATTTATATGGTCATGATAATTATTCTGTCTTTTTCCAAATTTATCACGTCTCGCTACCATATTCGCTTCAGGAATTGGAGTTGACCCTGTCGGACGGGCTTCATGATTTTTCATCAAAAGGGTATTATGTTGCTTAGCCAGTAGAAGGCATGGGATCGATTCAGAATACTTTTTAAAACCCTTTTCACGGTATCAACCATTTCCGCTAAAGAGTTCTCTATTGCAATAGTTTTTGGCAGGTCACTTTCTTTTGAAAAGAGACTGCTGTAATACCATATTTGAGGCATGAAAAGTCGTAAGAGTCTTTTCCAACAAACCCTCATCATCCATAACATTCCCACATAATTTTAATTGAGAAGTTATTAGGAATACAACAATGTTATACTCACTTAAAGTCTTAAAATTTTGCAATCCTAAGTGCATCCGCTCATATCGAGCCCCTGGCAATACTGTAGCCTTAAGGTGATCATATCTTTCTTTCAAGCCAATCCACAATTCAAGTGGATCTTTCACTGTCAAATATTCAACCTTCAAACATTCATCCAAATGATGATGAAGGAAAATATGGCTTTCGCTTTGTCCTGGCTTGATGCCTCCTTACCCCAAGTAGTGGTGTCACCAAGACCTTTAGCGGCTAATTACTCTTTCCAGAAATGTCAAGTGCCAAGAACTCAAGCTTTGATAAATTTGACATAGTGAACTATCAAAGAAGATAAATAATTAAAAATTATTAGGATAAAAGCGTAAAGAAACGATTGACATAATATCAATTTTTTTTATCTATATACACTAAAAGTGATAATTCCATAGAAAAGAATACTATTTTTTCTTCAAATTATTAATATATCTTTGATGTTAACTAGAACAAAAATGTCTTCTAACTTTTAACATAATTCAATTGCCGAACAACATAAAACAAGTATTCTTCTCTCATTTCATTCTATTAACATGAAAATTAGCAATTTTGACGTGACAATCATGTAAACAACTTAAACTAAATAAACATAGAATTGTCTACTTCTACACATGTTTAGAAATATGAGAAATTATTAAACTGCATATTAAAGACAATAATCATAAAATCAAAATATACAACAAAGAAAACAGAATGAACAAACATACTTGAACAATGAAATGAGCTCAACTTCGTGCTGATAACGTGTTAAAAAATATAGCTCAAAGTAACAATATAAAACAAGAAAATAACTAATAGAATAAGAGAAGAAGAGATAACTTTCTTATCTCATTGAGTGTTCAAGTGTTTCCTATATTACATTTCATGCCTTTATTTATACTATTGCATAGAAGGTTAAATAAGAATTATCTTAAACATGACAATACCTATGAGATGATGGGGAGGAGTTATGGATGTGTTGGAGTTACAATCACAATTTATGTATAATTAAAAGCCAAAGAAAAAGGCACCACATTAAGGAGCCGTTTGGCTTAGCTGATTTAGAGTAGCTGATAAGCATTAGGTGCTGATAAACACTTTAAAGTGCTGAAACTGATTTAAAAAATAAGCAGTTACGTGTTTGGATAAAAGTGCTGAAATTAATAATATGCAGCTGAAGAACTGGGTATACGAAGAGTTTTGTTTTAAAAAGAAGTATTTTAGGGATAGAATAGTAAATATTTTGGTCAAACTTAAAGTGCTTATAAGCTGAAATTTGATAAGTTGGGGGAGACCAACTTATGGCTTTTGGCTTATTTTTGGCTTATAAGCACTTAACTTATAAGCATTTTTAATTTTACCAAACGCGTAGATAAGCCAAAAAGTGCTTATAAGCTAGTTTGACCAGCTTATAAGCTTAGCCAAACACCCTTTAAGCCAAGTGGTAGACTAGAAAAAGCTATATGACATAATTGGTTATTTAGTTAATAGTAAGTTGTTGGTTATTATTTTTGAATTAAAATATCTATAAAATAATAAAATAAAATACTTTGTAATAAAAAACAAAAATTAAAAAGTTGTCCATTTCAAAATTAAAAAACCTGTCCATTTGTTGACTCCATCTGAGTCAAAATACCTTCTAAATTCAAGCAAAGATAATTTTCGATCAAATGGTTCTTCTCAAAATGCTCTCGGCGCACTTAGTTAAACGTACGGTGAGCTTATAGCCATGGCGAGAGGAAGAGGCAGAGGTAGAGGACGACCCCGTAAACATCCACTAACAGCATTAGAGAACCTACTAGCAACAGTTAAGCAACCAATAATGGAGAAAATAGCTCCATTAACCACTCCACCAGCTACAGTTCAGAGCATAGATCCATCTACTGGAGGTACTGCATGTTCAATTGGCTCAACATCGCACCAGTCTAATGTCTCTAAGAAGCTGGATTTGGCATCTCCAGCTCCACTTGGAGCAGTACCAGATCCGATGAAAGTCTTAACCAATGGAATAGTAACCATGCAAAATCCAGCGCAGATCCAAGTCAACTCAGCAGAAGAACCAGTGGAACCAGTGGTAACAAACAAAAAAGCAGAAGAACCTAAACATTCATGGGCAACACTCTTTCAGAAGAACAGATTTGCTACAAATGGTATGTCACTAGATTATATTCCACCGCTAATTGTAGATGGGCAGCCTATAGTTCAATTAGACAAATTAGAGGTGGAAGAGGAAGAGAGCAAGTGGAAATGTGCGTTGATTGCTTACATTTTAGGAGAAGGGCCAGGGTATAATGCGATGAAGAGATACATCAACTTGCATTAGTCACATCTACCAGAACCAGATCTATTCTATCATGATGAAGGTTACTACATAATCAGATTCAAAACTATGGAAGATGCTCACGAAATTCTATGTGCTGGACCTTATTCCATAGCTAATAGACCTATAATTCTGAAGCCGTGGACCCCTGATTTTTATTTCATTGAGGAATTTCCTACTGTTATCCCACTATGGGTTAAATTTCCCAAGCTCCCTATGTCTTGTTGGGGAATGAGATCATTGAGCAGGATAACAGTGTGTTTGGGAGGCCTATTTTTGCTGATGAGTGCACAACCAAACAAACTAGAGTTTCCTATGCTCGGATGCTTATTGAGATTAATGTTACCAAAGAGTTGCCAAGTGAAGTATGGGTGATGGATCCAAGTGGGAAGAAATTCTTGCAAAATGCTACTTACGATTGGAAACCTGCTTTTTGTAAGAAATGTCAAGTAGTAGGACACAGGTGCTCAAACCAAGTGAGACCTATTACACAACAACCTAACCAAATGAAGAAAACTAAAATTACACAGGAATGGAGAACCAAGGCCCCGGTACCTGCAACACCTATTCAAAGAGAAACAACCACAGCTGAATCACAACATGTTACTGTTAATAAGGTAACTGATGTTCAGAGTCCTAAGGAAAGCTATGATCTATCAAGTCTGGTTCCAAATGTTGAAAGGCAGGAAGACAAAGGAAAAGCAGTCCAAAGCCCAGAATTGAACCTCATTAATTTTCCTCCCCTGTCACCCATTCCTGTGAGAAATAGATTTGAAGCAGTGTCCAATAGCAAATATGAAGTGCCACCTTGGGATAGAGGTGGAACAAGTAATCAACAATGAAGTGGTTGTTCTGGAATATTAGAGGTGTAAATAAAAGGTATAAACAGAAGGAAGTTAGGGAGTATATTAGAAGCAATAAAATAAAGTTAGTAGGATCAGTAGAAACTAAGGTAAAAGAAGATAATGCTCAAAGAATTTCAAATTTTCTTGTTCCTGGATGAGGCATGCTAGCTAACTGTAATGAAGCTAGAAATGGTAGGATATGGATTACTGTTACTGGACTTAATGATGATCCTCAAATGATTCATTATCTAGTTAGAAGTATAAGGGGGGGATATAGATTGCTACCTCACTGTTGTTTATGGTTTCAATGGGATAGAGCAAAGAAGATCACTATGGGAAAATTTGCAACAAATTTCAAGAAGTATCACAAATTCATGGTTAGTTGCAGGGGATTTTAATGCATTGTTATATCCCAATGACAGACTATCTTGTAATCCTGCTAGTTATTCAGAGATTCAAGAATTTGGTTACTGTCTTCGGCAAGCAGGGCTATCAGAATTGCCTTGGAAAGGAGATTACGATACTTGGACAAATAAACAACCTGGAGCTGATAGAGTATGTAGCAGGCTAGACAGAGTTTTTGGCAACTATGAGTGGATGATGACTTGAAGCCATGTGGAGACAATTTATGATCTACCTCAAATTTCTGATCATAATCCTATGGTATTGACTCTAGCAGCTTCTTCTTCTTGGAAAGGAAGGGTTCCTTTTAGGTTCTTTAATGTATGGGTTGCTCATGAAGATTTCCATCAGATTGTGGCATCTATCTGGAACTCTTCTAGTAATTCTGGTTCTCTGAAAGCAACATGGACTAAGCTTAAAGCATTGAAAATCCCTCTGAAGGCTTTGAATGCTAAGGATTTCAAGGGCATTACTCAGAGGATTGAAAAAGCTAGATTGGAACTGAAAGAAATACAAAAGCAACTTGCAAGTACCTATTCTGATGGCTTACTACATAAGGAAAAAAAGACATTACTCAACCTTGAAAAGTGGTCTCTAATTGAAGAAAGTGTGTTGCAGCAGAAAGAAAGAGCAAAATGGATTCAACTAGGGGATTTTAACACCAAGTATTTCACTACAGTTATGAAAGAAAGATCACAAAGCAAACAGATTAGAGAAATTACAAATGGCCTAGGTGATAGGGTAACTGATTCTGCAGATATTAAAAGGGAGATTCTGGGATTCTACAAGGCACTCATGTGCTCAATAGCTAAATCTCTTCCTGCTATAAATAGCTTATATATGGCTAATGGTCCTACTCTATCCCAGCAACAAAAAATGGAACTATGTGCAGAAGTAACTGATCAAGAAATCTTGGAGAGTCTTAAAGCCATTGGAGATGATAAAGCTCCAGTAATCGATGGCTATAATGCTGTTTTTTTCAAGAAGGCCTGGAGTATCATCAGCAGCCAAGTTAAAGAAGCTATTAATGAGTTCTTTTTAACTGCCAAGATGTATAAACCAGTGAATTGCTCCAACATCATTCTAGTACCTAAAGTTTCCAAGCCCACCACAGTCAAGGACTACAGACCAATTGCTTGTTGTTCAATGCTGTATAAAATGATATCCAAAATCTTAGCTGCCAGACTACAAAAGGTCATGCCAAGTATAATATGTGAAGCCCAAGATAGTTTTGTTCCTGGCAGAAAGATAGCTGATAATGTAATTCTGGCTCATGAGTTAGTCAAATCCTATACTAGAGCCCATATATCCCCTAAATGCATGATTAAAATTGATCTCCAAAAAGCATATGACTCAGTGGAATGGATTTTTCTACAACAGGTGATGGAGGAGATTGGCTTTCCTACCAGTTTCATTAAATGGACTATGGAGTGTATTAAAACAGTTAGCTATACTGTTCTTGTAAATGGAGAATCTACTTAACCTTTTGAAGCTGCTAAGGGACTCAGACAAGGATATCCTATTTCTCCTTTCTTATTTGCAAGTATAATGGAATATTTGAGTAGATCACTTGCTGAGCTGGGGAAAGAGGCCAAATTCAATACCATCCCAGATGCAAAAAACTGGACATCACTTACATGAGCTTTGCCGATGACCTCCTTCTATTTGCAAGATGAGACTCAGCTTCCATTGCTGCTATGTACCAGTATTTCTCTCAATTCTCTGAGGCCTCAGGACTACAAGCTAACCTAGGTAAAAGCTCAGTTTACTTTGGTGGAGTGAAGCAGGAAGTGAAGAAACAGATTTTAGATCATCTTTGATTTGTACAAGGAGAGCTACCATTTAAATACTTAGGCATTCCTCTATCCACTAAGAAAATTGCTTTGATCCAATGGCAACCTTTAGTTGATAAAATCACAGCCAAGATCTCCTCATGGACTGCTAAGAAGTTATCATATGCTGGTCGAGTGCAACTAGTTCAATCTATGATTTTTGGCATCCAAGCCTACTGGGCTCAGTTGTTCATCCTTCCAGTTAAAGTGATGAAGATGATTGAGGCTATATGTAGAAGCTATATATGGTCTGGCAGCAACACTATCACTAAGAAAGCATATGTGTCTTGGGAAAGAATGTGTACTTCTAAATCTGCTGGTGGTCTGAACCTCATCAACCTTCTTCTATGGAACAAGGCAGCAATTGCAAAAGTGTGTTGGGATTTAGCTCATAAAGAAGACAAGTTTTGGATCAGATGGATTAATGCCTACTATGATAAACAGCAACTGAAGGACATGCCAATCCCAAAACAGGCTAGTTGGATGGTTAGGAGGATAAGTGCTTCAAGGGATATTCTACAACAAGCTCAAAGTTCAAATGATCACATTGGCACCATCAGACAGCTATACTTACAGCTATTAGGAGATCTACCAAGAGTAAGTTGGAAGAATTTGCTTTTCCGGAATTCTGCTCGACCAAAGGCTGTTTTCAACTTATGGTTACTGCTACAAGGAAGATTACCTACCAAGGATAGATTAGTCAACTGGGGATTGAGCATTAACCAACATTGTGTTCTATGCCAAGGACATGTGGAGACAAGAGATCACCTCTTTTTGTTATGCTCATATACAACAATGCTGTGGAAACAAGTAATGAGGTGGATTCAAGAGGATCAATCGAATAATCACAATTGGGATCAACATCTTCAATGGATCATCAACAAAGCCAAAGTGAAGTCAAGTAGGGACAGCATTTTCAGATTGGTGGTCACTGAAGTTTCATATGCATTATGGATGAAAAGGAATACACATTTTATTATGAATATAGATATCGTAGCAGTGAAGTGTTAGCACGAGAAATAGCTTATATATGTAATGTTAGAGTAGTTCCTAGAGCTAGAAAACAAATGCAACAATTTTGATAGTAGAGTAGCTTAGTATAGCTATTTTATAATTTAGTAGATTAGTTGATGATGAGATAGTCAGCAGAGTTTTATGCTGGAATATGGATTTGTAAAGCCTGATCTTTATTGATTAATACAAAAGAAGTTAATTACCAAAAAAGAAAAAGATAATTTTCGATCGCATTATTCTTTTATCATTATTATAAGTCAAGACTAATCTCTATCTCGTACGGAACTTTTAAAATAAAACACATGTTTATAAATGAACCACTTTATGATTTTCTTTACGAATTACACGTAAGAATATCCAGAAGATTGTAAGATTTTTTATATCCATTTAATTATAATGTATTCTTATTCATTTTAAATTAATTTATATTTTCAATTTATTTGAAACAACCTATATAATTGTGATATTTGAGTATCATCTAAAAGTTATTTGATGATTATATGACTAGTTTAATTTAATTATATCGAACTATTACAATAGGGTAGATAAGACAATAATTATAATTTTATTAAAACGTATGATGCAACGTGCTCAAATAAATTAGATCATACTTTGATATGACTAATATTCTTTAATAATATTCGTGCATGGCGTGGATACTAATACTAGTAGTGATGAGTATTGAGAGGTTATTTATATCATAGATAAAAATAGTAGTAGTGGACATCCACATTTACTAATAGTTTTACATCATGACTTTATTTTTCGCATCAATCTGTTTTTGTGGTTAACATGGAATATCGATAGTTAGATCTACTACGCTTTAATATATATATATATATATATATATATATATATATATATATATATATATATATATATATATATATTTGCAAAATTTATTCAACAAGTTAATGCTCAACTAAGAAAATTCCCAATTACTGTGCCATGAGCCGTACATTTTCTGAAGGTTGTCGTTTCTGCGGCCATTTCTCCTGAACTACCATCTGTATGGTGAGCAATGAAGCCATTCTTTTTGCGCTTATTCTGCAAATACCTCTAAAAATTCTTGGAAGGGAAGTGCTGTGTCCAACAAATAATTAAAAGAAAAGAAAACAAGATCTCAAACCTCGTATATTCCTAAAAGTAAAACGGCTGCTTTATGCCATTGCATGATGCAATAAAACACTTTTAGATATATGAACCTCCCTCCTCCTAACCATCTTCGTCTTTTTCCCTTTTTTGCGATTCTTCGTTTTCTTACCGCTATTATCATTTCTCTTCCCAACACAGAGGATTCAAGGGGAGAAAAGACAAGGACCTGAAGTTGCAGCTTTGAATTCTACCACACATCTTACGTATATATAACAACAAAGGCATCTTGACATCATTGAGATACCTATGATAAAACATTAGCCATAATTAAGGCAGTCTGTTGGATCCTGACATCTCCTTCTTTTTAACGAAGAAGTGAGCCACTTGCTAACCTGTCAGGTTCATTTTTACCTTTCCTATATTCCATCTTTTAGTTATATCTGATTTATTGCATTAGTGCAATGTGAACATAACGATCTCATGGTTAGCATTGGACACCATAATCTCGAGTGCATCTCCTTTCTCTCATGGTTGGTTAACCTTATTAGCAGTACAATTTCCATCTGCAGATCTTTCAATTCTTGAATAGGAACATATTGGCTCTGGGAATGGGAAGAGTCAAAATTTTGGAATAATTATTATATTGTATATTGGTTCTAGATGATGAGTTTTTTTTTTTGGTTTGAATCAGAAAACGTAATGACACGGGTTAGAGCCTTGAAGATTGTCAAACTTGTTTTCGATGGTTTTATGATCCATTAGTTTTAAAACTTGGAAACTCATAATTCATTTAACATGCCATGGTATGTTTGATGTTTTGCAGGATTCAGCAGGAGGAATTACAAGAAATACAATGTTGAGAAACCGGCGGCAAAATGGGTCAGGCTCTCCAAGATCTACAACGTCGAGTCCAACAGGTTCGCCGAGAATAATAGTAACTCGAAGCATAGGTGGTTCCCCTAGAAGCGAGGTGGGAGAGATTGATACGAGATCACCTTTCCAATCCGTCAGAGCTGCTGTTAGTTTGTTTGGCGAAGCTGGTACCGGTTCCTCCCCCAAGGCTAAGCCTCTTACCTTTAAGAAATCAAAAACCGCTGAAGAGGTATGTATGCAATAACACGTTTAGGAGTACAGTCAAACCTCTCTATAACTGTATCTCTATATAACAACCATTCACTACAAAAGCCAAGCTTTTTCGGAACTGATTTTTATGTTATGTTATAATATATGTCCTCTATAATAACACTTTACTGTAGCAGCAGAACAAACGAGGCTGTTATAGAGAGGTTTGACTGTACTAGCTATTATATATTAAAGTCAATCTCACATATACTAATAAATAACACGTGACTTGATTGTGGTTTTATAGAAGGAGAGTCAGCTTAACTTGGCCCTCAGAGAACTTGATAGCCTCAAACAACAGATAAGAAGCATAGAAACTTCAAAAAGTCATGCTCTCCATGAGCTGGAAAATGCCAAGACAACTCTGCAGGAACTCACAAGCCAGCTCGATACGTTATGCAAATCAAAGCAAGCAGCCATTGAGGCAACCGAAGCTGCAAAGGCACGAGCCAGACAACTCCAAGATGAGAAATGCAACAGTGAGCACCGATATCTGCTTGTTGCAAATAAAGAAGAATCTCCTCTTAGGACAGCTAAGGAAGAAGCAGAGAAGAAAATCAGGGACGAAAATCTAGTGGAGAAGCTTGAGGAAACTAATAAGGCGATTGAAAGCTTGCAAGAACAACTCAACAATGTCCGTGCCTCGGATTTGGACTCTTTTGCCAAAGCAAGTTCAGAGCTTGATCGTACTAAAAAGGCATTTCAAGAGATAGTAGCCGAAGAAAGGTCGTCCAGAAGCCTGGTGGATTCCCTTCAAGCAGAATTAGATAGCTTCAAGGGCCATAACTCTCAACTTAAAAAGAAAGCAGATGAAGCAGAAGCCCTTGCTGAGAAATTGCGGTTAGATCTTGATAACAGCAAGAAAGAGCTTGAAGCGAAAACGCCAAAGGGAGACATCCAACAGTTTACTTCCGAGGCTGTTCAGTTTCTACAGGAAGCAGAAGAGATGAAGAAGAAGGCGGAATTACTCAGACAAGAAGCTGTAACAGCACGAGCTGAAGCCAAGGAAGCAGAGGAAAGACTGAAAGTTGCAGCTGCAGAGAAGCTCGCAAGTGATCAGATTCACAATTCATCGATAACAGAAGACGCTTCTGATCTGATAAGCCCAGAGTCTAACAGAAAGATCAAATTGGCAGTTGAGATATACGAAGCTTTAAGCAAAAAAGTGGAAGAAATCAGAAATGAGGCTGACATAAAGGTTGCCACTGCCATGGCTCAAGTAGAGACCATTACTGCCAATGAAAAGGAAGCACTCATGAAAGTGGAGGCAGGTCTGAAAGAGAAGCGGGACATAGAAGTTGCAATCAAGGAAGCTTTAAAGGCAGCAGAGATGGCTGAGGCAGCCAAAAAGGTCGTTGTGGGACAACTGAAGAAAAAAACATCAAAAGCAGTAAGATCACGTAGCTGGAGAATCTTCTAATAGAAAGGAAGTGACAGTTTTGTGATCATCCATGCACAATATGAGAACCAGAATTCAAGTTGAGAACCTTTCTTTTTTGATAAACAAGTCTAAGATTTTATTAATAAGGCAAAAGGCGCACCGACTGATTGCTTGTACATAACTGAGAGATACAAAAAGCGAATTTCCTACCTCCCATATGGGACATTTGTTTTGTTTATGCTGCATTTCTGTAACTTTAACCAATTTGTTTGCACTTTGCACTGAAACTATGTATAAAATGTCTTTAAAGCAGCGTTCTATTCTTTTTGCTTCAGTTAGTATGATGTCTTTAGCTAAACTAGCTTAGCAATCTTCATTGTTCCCATCAATATGCGAAAGACTGCTTACAAATTAGTCTGGTCCTGTCATATTTCACAATAGCATAAACAAAAAAATAGATCTGTGCGGATCATCAACCAGCTTTGAGGATTAATTGAACATTATTGCTATAATACCAATACATAGTATATAGAAGGACCAACATCAGAGATGGATAAACATTTATTAATACATGCGATAACGAATAGTATCTCCTACAAGAGCTCGACCAACATATACCTCTATATACATCTAATATAACGATTATAAATGTCAACCACGTATCCCTATACTTAGTGGTTTTATGTTGAAGACGCACCTTGTGCAATTAGAATACATAAAAATTTGAGGCTACTAATTAGAAGAAAGCCCTCTGTTGACTGCATGAGCTATTAATAAGTATACTTGCATGAGGATCCAGAACTGTTAGCCGGTAAAATGCATAATGGCCCAAACTCTTATTTTAGGATGTTATCGGACCAGAACTTTCTATACTCGATGATCATCAATATTAAGGTCATCTAACGACTGAACGAGCCCATTCTGATTTTCAAATTTTTGAAATTCTGATGCTAATGTCTGAACAAACTCAGTCCCCTCGGTGACCTCATCAGGAAAATTCACATGGACAGAGCCCTGTTTAATAGGCCTAACAGGTTTACGAAGCAAAGCCTGCTGCTTTATGTAATTGTAAAGTTGCTGGTGAAATGGATGATCCAAGGAATAACAATTCTGATTCGAGCTGCCTGAGTATTTGGAAGATCCAGAACCTTCTCTCCGGCAAAAATGGGGGAGCGAGGAATAGTCCATGATCTACACATGTTATCAGACAAGATGATTAGATCTCTCAAATAGATCACTGAAACCAGAAGTTGTTTATCCAAGTGGCACACTCATAATCATGAATTACACTACAAAGGAACCATAGGGGTATATTTAGGACAAGTGACATATTTTTCCTAGTTACAACTGATCAGTGTTGCTTGTATCTCTAAACCAGTGTCTGGATGGCTATACCATTTTCTATAAAATGGGAAATCTAAATAGCTGCTTTCTTTATTAGTTCTCCACCAATTTTCTATAGCCAAAATGTAGCTACATCCTCCTAGAAGAAGATGACAACTTAACAATGGTAAAAGAACAGCTACCTTCAATAAATCATCCTGTCCACAACCTGATAAAACCTGAACCTTTTTTCTTGTCCTCTCCTGCAGCAGAGGCTTGACGACCTAATGAATTCATATGTTACAGCAGATTAGAGAATTTAGTCATTCAAAACATGTAATCTCTACAAAATTTGCAAGAAATAATTGATAATAGAGTATACTGAAAAAGAAAAAGACATAAAATAAGAGACAAACCTTCCAACAAGCTGAAAAGATATATGGAGCATTCACAATGTAGTATGTAACTACCTTCTCCGGGTAATTTAGGTCATCAATGGAGGAAATTATAGTCAACAGCTGAACGAGGGAAATAACATTAAGTTAATATATTTTGCTCCAAATATTAACAGCAGTGGCTCCAAGGTAATTCTCAAATAAGTATATGCATCTGTCTATATGGTTAGAAATAGTCTTGCAACTACATATTCTTCTGGCAAAACAAATATTCTTGTTCTTTGCTCTATCTGGAAAGTTTTTTAAGAACTGAAAAAAACTAAAAGTGAAATCTTCGAGATCAACAATCAGTAACATTAGGTATTTTCCCACAATTTCATTGATCAAATAATACTTTGAAAGAGCGTAACTAAAGGAGAGTTTACTGGAATATACCTTTATTTGGTTTAGAGCTGAAAGTTTTAAGCCGGTCATGTCTAAAACCTTCAGACATTTGCCTATGTGTTTCCCATACTTCTTACTTGCAGCAGGCTGTGACAGATGAACCAACTTAGTAAAATGCAAGGGATTATAAGTACTCACACACAAAGGAAGGGATTTATGAATCCTTTTTACCAGAACCACGCGATCTCGATATTCATTAATCTGAATGTGCGATTGGACGTAATAATGGACCTGAAATGAAGAACTCTTGTTACTTCTTTTATCAGCAGAACTATAGTTACTATAATGAAAGAGTCAAAACAAGCAAAAACCCAAGAGTTCCAAGCATAAAAACCACCCTCCCCCAGGATAAAACAAATAAGACAATGACACTGAGAACTAAATAACCAAAGCTAAAGAAAAACGTCTTACCGGAGGCATGAAATTTTGCAGAAATTTCCAGTCATGTCCATGAGGTAACAAGTCAGTACAATTTTTATTATAGACATATCGGGGGCATGATTCATACGTCAAATGTTAATTAAGTCATCCACCAAACTATTTCACTAATGCAACGTGTAAAATTATAATTACCTCGTGGAACATAACTATCATGAAAATCTGATCCTAATTCGACATAAGCCATTTAAAATTATATTGCGCATGAAATTGAATGTGGAGGTTCATACACAGGATGAGGGATTATTTGATATATTTTTAGACAATCATGAATACTTGCAATTTTCTGGGTAGCTGTAGGCCATGCAAGAAAATTACTTATATTAAATAAAATGTCCTGTCCAATTTGTATTTCGTCCACCATTCTGTCGTACTTCTTAATCTTCAGAAACACATGTTGAACTTATTCGTCTACAAATAATATCTCCCCCCCCCCCCACCACCCACCACACACACACAAAAAAAAAAAAAACAGAGAAAAAGAAAAAGCAAGGAAAATGCAGCCAATAGAGGTTCTATAATCTGAAACTAATCCAATGAGTACACCTCCATTATCCACAAATCAAACACCCTACTCGAGTCTCGACAATAAGTTCATGAATAAGTAAATGCACATGAAATCTTATAGACTAGAGGAAGATAAGAATCTCAATGACCCTTACAGATGCTTTGTCATATGTGCTGAGACCTGCACCAAAAGCGAATACCGGAAGGCCCTGAAAAAGAGGATAACGGCATTCTCAAATAGTTATGAAGCCCCTAGGAGCATCAATAGCAAAAGATGACAATAATGTGTGTTACAACTGTGTGTTACAACATAATTTCAGAAATGGGTACCTCTCTCGTGTAACCTGACATCCCTATTAGCTGAGAGTCACGAATTGCTCTGTAAAGCTCAGTAGGAACGATAGGCTTCTGAGGTAGCAAATAAAGAAGAATCAACATTAGACTCAATTAGGTAATAATTTGGAAAGTAGCAAAAATTTTCAGGATACATTCAACAATAATTAAAATATAATAGGTTAAAATACAATTAACGCGAGCATATAAGAATGTATAATAGCATAAAATACAACCAACTCTGGTGAAAAAAGTATGTATGTGTGCACAGTTTCAACTGCACTCCTAAGCATAATAGAAGAAGCACAATTCAAAAGGTATCTGAAAAGATTTTCTACTGGTCTATACCACCATAAAACCCACATCTAAAGTCTAACTCAGTTAAGTTCCTGTTTTACAAGCCAAACTAGTAGCACGGTGTTAGGCTCTTAGCTCTATAAATATTAAAGACTAGACTTGATAAGGACAGGAACCTTTAAAACTGATTGCCACAACAACAATATTAAAATTCTAGAATACTCACCGCTAACATATCATCTATCTCACTTTGGACCCTCCACGTCAAAGAATCAACCAACTGAAACATTAGAAAATATAAGTATCGGGTATGCAAGATCATTTACTCCAATACATGGAAGGCAAATTTAAAAGTCTTAAAAGAGTAGGTTTTGACCATTTTATGGGCCTTTTCAACATTGCCCTCTCTTGCCATTAGGAAGCGCACATATGTGTCCCTTGGACAGCCTTGATGAATATTCTGCAAGTAGAGAGAGAAGATTATCTAATGAACCACTCATTAATTATAACACAATGGCGTAGATGCAAACTTGAAATGAAAAATCAATCCAATTTCCACTGATTCCTATCATCCACTTCAAAGTTTTAGCTAAAACTAAATATACTCACACACAACAACAGATATGACATGAACCTTAGGTAGCAGTGCAGAACAGAATTGTTATAATCCTTTTGTTTACTCATTTCCTTGTACTTTTAAATAGGCAAAATACCAAAACCAAATTTACAATTATTGCGATTATTGTATTTTTGTAGTATGTTAGTGTATTGTATTTATCAGCTAGTTAGTTAGTTGTAAAAGGGTAGTATAGTCAATATATTCATTAGCTGTGATTTTATTTTCCACACGTGTATATATGCATTGTCTCTTAACAGTTACAAAGTAATAGAGAAAATTCCCGAACACTCTCTCTCTCTTTCTAGAATCTTCTTCTTCTCTCTATGGAAGCTCGAGGTCAGCTAACAATGGAGGTTGGCCTTATACGCTAACTTCATTTCGACATGATATCAGAGCGCAGCTCTAATCGCTCATCTTCTCTCTTTCTCTAATCTCAAAAAATCTGTTCAAATCGGAAAGATACAAGTCCACACTTGACGAAAGGGGTTTCTGAAAATTCTCACCCAATTTTTTCAAAATTTTGGTAATCAATTACTCCGATCCTCTGCTAATTCACCTCGTTCAATGGCCGGAGACAAGGAAGATCAAAACACAGCTGGTAGCATGGATCTGACTAGTCCGTTGTACATGCACCCGTCGGAGAGTGCCGGAACAACGCTAGTTCCTGTTGTTTTCGACGGAACTGGGTATAGGTCCTGGAGAAGAGGAATCCTTAGGGCTTTGTCAGTAAAGAACAAAGTCGGATTCGTCAATGGAAAGTGTAAGAAACCTAAAATCGATGAAGTGACCTACGACCAGTGGGCTCGTTGCGATGACATGGTTACGTCCTGGATTTTGAACTCACTCTCGAAGGATCTAGCTGACAGCTTGCAATATGTCAACGACGCTAAGGAATTGTGACAGGAACTCGAGGATAGGTATGGTCAGACTAATGGAGAGAAGTTGTATCAACTACAGAAAGAAATTAATGACCTTAGCCAAGGCACTTTGGATATCACAGGATACTATACAAAAATGAAACGACTTTGGGAAGAACTGAACACCTTGAACGCACATGCACAGTGCAATTGTCAATGCACTTGTGGTGCAAACGCGAATATGCAAAAGGCTGAGCAGGATCGTAGGCTAATTCAGTTCCTAATGGGCCTAAATGAAGTTTACACAGTTGTGAGAGGCAGTATATTGATGATGAACCCGTTGCCCAACATAGCTCAAGCCTTCTCTATCCTGATCCAGGAGGAAAAACAGAGAGAGGTTAAGACGAACAACAAATTAGTTATGGAATCAACTTCATTAAATGCAAATGGACCTGGAAATGCTAAGTTCAGAACAAACTACAATCAGAGGGGAGGTAATACAGGGGCAAACTCATACAATTCTAATAAATCAGGCTATCCACCTGCTAGGACTCGGATGTTCTGTGACTATTGCAAAAAGCCAGGACACACCAGGGACATTTGCTATAGAATTCATGGATTTCCGCAAGACTTTAAATTCACAAAGGGGAGAAACGTTGCATCTGCTGCAAATGTTCATGTAGATTCTGAGGAAATGGAAGGAGGAAATCAAAGCCAGGGGCTTCAGAGCTTGACAAAGGAGCAGTACAATCAATTGCTTAACTTGTTGGAGAAATTTCCTGGGAGAAACACAGGAGAGGGCCTCGACAACAACATGACTTGTGGAGCTGCAAACTTCGCAGGTATTCTAGCTTGTTCCACTTATAAGGAGATTGCTGAAACAACTGTGTGTAGATGTTCTAAATCAATTGCTGACCTATGGATAATAGATAGTGGTGCCTCAAATCACATGACATACAGAAAGTCCTTTTAAAAGAATGTTAGAACCTTACCCTATCCCTTCTTAGTCACCCTACCAAATGGATATAGAGTAAAAGTGACAAAAATTGGAGATGCATCCCTTGGTCCCATGTTAACCTTAGTTAGAGTTCTCTATGTGCCCACTTTCAAGTACAATCTCATCTCTATTCATTCCCTAACTGATTATCTCAATTGCATAGTTAATTTTAGCAAATACCTTTGTATGATACAGGCCCCTTCAATGAAGAGGCCTATGCAGATTGGTAAGGCAAGGAGTGGATTGTACTTCCTTTGCCCTGAGTGTCATGGATCTTCAAACTCTGGTTCCTTTTCTGTTTCTGTAAACCTTTATTCTCACCCTTGTTTTCCTATGTTGTACATACAGGAAAGAGTCACAACTCACCTAGGAAGTCCTTGTCAAATGTAGATAAGTCATCTCAATCACACAACAATGTCAATGTAAATACCTTTCACTCAAGAAATAAAACTGACTCTTCCTCTAATGAGATTTCTCTTCTGTTATCCTTATCATCGCATAAAGACAATAATGAATATCTATGGCATAACAGACTAGGCCATGTACCTTTTGTGAAAAATGAGAACTATTTCCACCATACCTGTTGAATTTTCCCACAAACAGCCTTTCACTTGCCATGTCTGCCCCATGGCAAGGCAGACAAGATTACCCTTCAGTCAAAGAACTTCATCTACCACCAAAATATTTGAACTTTTGCACATAGATCTTTGGCGTCCCTATCACATAACAACCCATGACAATTACAAATACTTCCTTACAATGGTTGATGACTTTAGTAGATCAACTTGGACTCATCTCTTGAGCAGTAAAAGTAACACTCTCCAAGCCATCAAAGCCCTCATCTCCAGGATTGAAAACCAATTTGATGAAAAAAAAAACAATTTGATGCATCAGTTAAGGCTGTTAGGTCAGATAATGGGCTGGAATTTGTGAATAATGAGGCCATGTTATATTTCCAAGGAAAGGGCATAATCCATCAGAAAACTTGCCCATATGCACCACAGCAAAATGGTGTGGTTGAAAGAAAACACAAGTATCTATTAGAAACAGCCAGAGCATTACTCTATCAATCCAAATTACCAATGAAATACTGGGGAGAGTTTATTCTGACTGCTACATATTTGATAAATAGACTGCCTTCCTCAATTCTTAACAACAAATGCCCATTTGAACTTCTTTATAACAGAAAACCAACCTACTCACACCTTAGAAGTTTTGGTTGCCTGTGCTATGCCACTACACTCAAAACTCACAAAGACAAATTTGAACCTAGAGCTACCCCTCATGTGTTTATAGGGTATCCTTTTGGGACCAAAGGGTATAAAGTTCTCAATTTGACCACAAAAAAGGTACATGTGTCTAGGGATGCTATATTTCATGAAAACATTTTTCCCTTTGCTATTTCTCCTGAACACTCTTCTTTTCCTTCTGTGTTAGACATGATAAATCATAATTCCACTTGTCCTCAGTCCACAGTAAATTCATTTGACAGTCATTACAACCATGATAGGGATGCACCAACTTCAGTCACTGAAAGTCCCACATTTGATGTACCAGACATTAACCATCTGTCACACCCTACAGATATATCAAACCACATTCCATATGAAAATCAAAATCCAGAACCAAACTCAACTTAAGTGCACCAAGAACCACATATAACACCATCCAACCAAGCATCACAAGACATGGAGCCTAATGTTAATCAAGTAACCAATTATCCCAGAAGATCAAACAGGACCCTTAGCACACCCTCACATCTCAAAGACTATATTTGTACATTACCAAAGTTACAAACAAACAATCACTTGAACAACACTATAAATCCTGAACAGCAGCCACCTCATAATTCATTAACTGCTCTTTTCTCACATAACCATTCTGTCTCTTTCAACTCATTAAGCCATGATAGTCAGGAATTAATTAAGAACATCTCACATGATTGTAAACCATACTCTTATGAGGAGGCAGCTTTGAATCCTGCCTGGCAAGTAGCAATGACACAATAATTTGATGTTTTATATGCTAACCATACTTGGGACCTAGTTAAGTTACCTGCAGGTAAGAAGGCCATAGGGTGCAAGTGGGTGTACAAGATAAAGCATAAGGCAGATGGCAGTGTGGAAAGATAAAGGCAAGACTTGTGGTAAAGGGTTATACACAAGAAGCTGGGATTGACTACACAGAAACTTTCTCCCCAGTAGTGAAGATGACCACTGTTAGAGCCCTGATCAGCACTGCAGTAAAGAAAGGATGGGACCTCTATCAGTTGGATGTCAACAATGCATTCCTGCATGGAGACTTACATGAGGAGGTCTACATGGAGATTCCACGTGGTCTGAAGGTAGAAGACACACAACTTGTGTGTAGATTAAGGAAGTCCATGTATGGCCTTAAGCAAGCCAGTAGACAGTGGTATGACAAGCTAGCAGAGTCTCTGTATTCTAGAGGTTTCAAGCATTCAACCAATGATTACTCCTTGTTCTACAAAAAGCAAGGTGAGTCATCAGTTTTTGTAGCTGTATATGTTGATGATGTGATTCTTACTGGAACTAATCTTGAGGAAATTAAAGCACTGAAGACTTACCTACACAACCAATTCAAAATAAAAGACTTGGGAAAATTACATTACTTTTTGGGGCTAGAGATGCTTTACAAAGATGATGGAGTGTTGATATCCCAAAGGAAGTTCATCACTGATCTTTTGAAGGAATATGACTGTATGGGGTACTCTGCTATTTCATCTCCATTGGATTCATCAACCAAGCTGAAAGCTGAAGAGGGCCCCTTAATGTCTGATCCATCCTACTATAGAAAACTAGTTGGAAAGCTTAACTTTCTCACAAACACAAGGCTAGATATTGCGTACAGTGTACAGCATCTAAGTCAATTCATGCAGACACCAAGAGAGCCTCACTTGAAGGCTGCCATACATGTACTCAGATATCTGAAGAAAGACCCTACTCTGGGCATTTTTCTGTCCAATGATCCTTCTTACAAGATCACGGCCTACTGTGATTCGGATTGGGCAGCATGTCCTGACTCAAGGAGATTTGTAAGTGGGTATCTAGTGCTATTTGGAGGAAGCGCCATCAGCTGGAAGCCGAAGAAGCAAACTACTGTTTCATTATCTTCTGCAGAGGCAGAGTATAGATCACTGAGAAAGGTGGTTGGGGAATTGGTATGGGTGCAAAGGTTATTGGAGGACCTCACAGTCCCATGTACTGATCCCATTCAAGTGTTCTGTGACAGCCAAGCAGCAATACACATTGCTAAGAACCCAGTGTTCCATGAAAGGACAAAACACATAGAGGTTGACTGTCGTTTTGTGCGTGATAAACTACATGATGGTTTGATCACACTTCACCACATTTCCACTAATGATCAATTAGCTGATATTCTAACAAAGGCTCTCACAGGAAATCAAACATTCAGATCTTCTACACAAGTTGGCAGTGAAACCTTCACCTCCAACTTGAGGGGGGTATTGCGATTATTGTATTTTCGTAGTATGTTAGTGTATTGTATTTATCAGCTAGTTAGTTAGTTGTAGAAGGGTAGTATAGTCAATATATTCATTATCTGTGATTTTATTTTCCACACGTGTATATATGCATTGTCTCTTAACAGTTACAAAGTAATAGAGAAAATTCCCAAACTCTCTCTCTCTTTCTAGAATCTTCTCTCTATGGAAGCTCGAGGTCAGCTAACAATGGAGGTTGGCCTTATACGCTAACTTCATTTCGACAACAATTTTATATAGCAGTGCGAAGCAGATACGAAAATTGTTATTTAAAAAAATTGGAGTTTTAGAACCATCGCAAGGCTAGATGGTGAATCAGGGATAAGGTTTCAATTATAATCTAATCCCCAAAGTATGACTGGTCTCAACCAACAGCAATAAGTCCTAAAACCAGACATAAATTAAGAGTTCCAACAACAAACATATCACTAATCATTATCGGTTTAACTCCAATATTAAGGAAAAAGTCAAAAGATATCTGCTTTATTAACATCCTTGAAAATTAGGCCAAAAGCCAAATAAATTAAGATATATCAAACAATTAACAGCAAAATGTCGGTGCTAGTGACAGGGAAGAAGAAATGTCGCAGCAGGCTAATATAAGAGAATTTTTTAAAAGAAAGTAAGGAAATTAAACCCTACATAGTGTTAAGAGGGGCACGAAGAAAAAGGGGCGAACCTGAAAAGTAGTTTTGAGTGCTTCATCAACTACTGCGCTCAGAAATGAAATGGGTCAGAAAACAGAAAAAAACGACTAGTCAATCAGTGTTAAAAGGAAGGAAAGATTGTGTTACCTTGCTCCATTAAAGCTGTTTCAAACTGGGTGATCGTTTCTTCTGAAATCACACACATGTTGCTAGAGTTCAGTGAATTATCACTGCTCTCATTCAATCTCTATGACTCACTCCTATTTAATAATGAACAACAGCAACAGAGAGAGATAGAGAGAGAGAGATGGAGAAATATAAGTAAAGATTTCACCTTTTTGTGTGTGTGTGTGTGACTGTGAGAGGGGGGAGGGGGTGGAGGAGAGAGTTTTGATGTTTTATGAATGAAGGGTCAAGATTCAAGAAAGGTATGCTTTTACTTTTCTATCTTTCAACTTTCCATCAATGCTCTCATCCTTTTTTTATCTCTTTTCTCATCATGGAAAATAAAGGGACAATAAAGATGGCTTTTGTTACAAAACTGACGCAAGGAGGAGACTTTGAATGAAGCCTTGAGATTAAAAAAGGAGAATGCTGAATAATTAATGTGAATGTATTCTAGCAGTCTCTCTACTCAACCAAAGTCATCAAAATTTCTAAATATATGTTCCCTTTTAAAGAAAAAGACACTAAATGTTCACGTTGTAGGTGTGGCTATTTAGAACCACCACAAGTCAAGATTTTCAGTTTATTTTAAGCGACACCACACCTAATTGACGCCAAGCCCTCCAACCGACACTATTAAATAAAAGAAAAAGACACCACAGTTTTAACTGAAAATTATTCTTATTTTGTGTTTATTACCGCATGATCATAAACTTATGACTAGTGTCATTACTATTGGTAAATTAAATAAAATTGATGCATGCACCATAAGTAAGTATTTAGTCCTAAAATGATCACCAATTAATGTGACGGTATGCTCAAGTTACAGCTTGTTTGGATGGTTGTTCCCCATTGTATCGTATTGTATTGTTATCTTAAAACAACGTTTGTTTTGATTGTTTCATTAAAATTGGTTGTATTGTATTGTTAAATCCATTGTTCCGGAACAATGGAAAGTCCCATTTTTTGAAACAACCGATTTGGTGTGCTGGGATTGTTTCTTATTTTCCTCTTCAATTATGCCTAACTTATTACTCCATAATTCTATTTTACCCTTTAACTTTTTTTCTATTTTAACTCCAAATCTCCAACATATAACCTACTTTATTTGTTTTCAAAACTTCTGCCGCCTTCTGTTTGATTTTTTTTCTCCTAATTTGCTTTTAACTCAATTCTAATTAGTTGTGTTCCTTTGTTTTGCCTTCTTCTGTCTTACTCCTTTGTTCTACTTTTTTAAGGTGTTTTGCCTTCTTCTGTTTTATTTTTTAAAATTATTTTTATGCATAATTTTTGATAAATTTAATATTTAAACAATTGATGGTATTTTTAGTAAACTTATCAGTTACAGTACAGTACGATACAGTCAAACCAAACAGCAAAATATTATTTAACAATAACAAACAATACAATCTATCCAAACATTATATTTATAAAACGATACAACGCAATACGATACAATACAATACAATATATTATAAAACGATAAGGAACAGTAATCCAAACAGAGTGTTAATTGACTTAGTTAGGTCAAATACAAAATGATAAAGAGAAGAAATTACAAGCCTACTTCCTCAACATTAAAGTTTGCCTCAATTATTTGACCTCTTTCCAGTGCCCCCTAGTTTTAGAAGACAATTGCTTGTCCTCATCTTTAAAGACAATTATCATTTCAAATTGTAGTACGCACGTAACTCCAATTCTTTTAAATATTCTATTCTATTATATTCTATGGCTTTATCTTAGAAGATGCATGGATGCACATGCATTTGTATTAAATCGATTACATTTGATGAACTATATTTCATGTGAAAAAATATTGGAAAGTCTGGGTAGTAATTACATATTATTATAATTATAATGACATGTTTTTTGTCATGATGTAATTTATGTATAATTACTTGTGTCATATTTGGTTGTACACGTATAATTATATAGATAAATAAATATTTTTTCATATTAACATGTACATAATTTTCATTATATGATAAATATTTATATGTATAATAGATATTAAAAATTAAATATTATTTTATATTAAGAAATGATTTGCCTTTTTTTTTAATCTTTCTTGTTTCCTATGAATAATATAATATTGAAAGAAAAAAAGAATTTGAAAGACTTGTAATTACATCATGTAATTACACCCAATTCTTTATCCCTCCCCCTTTGAGATTAGAGAGTGTAATTACTCCCTCCTAATTACACCCAATTCCTCACTAACCAAGTAATTACTTAGTCAAACAAATATGCCAAAATATATAATTACACTCAATTAAAATCAATTCCAATTCTCACGTGGCTTTCCAAATATGCTCTAAATGGAACTCCTAGTTAAGAAAGGGAATTTTGAAATCAATATAGGCATGCTTTGACATAAAAACTAGTCATCACTTTTCTTGAAAAAATATAAAATCAGATCTTGTGAAATTTTCTGTGTATTATTTCATCATCTGTATCCAATATTTATACAAGTAGCTAATCTAACAAGAAGAGAAAAGATTCTATAATCTGTACACTTGTACAAATTCTATTGCTAACTCTGTAACAGAAAAATAACTAAAATATTCCTTTACAATGTATTTACATGTGCTGTATTATCCTCTTGCTCCAGCTGTCCAAGATGTGTAATCAATGGCTGAGATTTATCTTCAGCTTGTATGCTCATGATCTTCAGCCTGTAACCAATAACAGGCCCAAATAATAAAGGCAATCATAGAGGCCCAAGTAATATCGACAACATAGAGGCCCAAATAATAGAGACAACCAAATAATAGAGGCAACATAGGTACTATCGAAAACCTATCTTCTTGTCTGAAGACCTATCTATCTTCTTCTTCTTCTTCTCTTCTGTAAATTAATCCAAAACTCTTCTCTGATTGAAAAATCTGGCTATCGACATAGAGCTTCCTTTTCTTCTTCAACATCCCCCCTCAAGTTGGAGGGGAGAGATAAAACCCCCAACTTGCTCAAAATAAACCGGTGGGAAGCTCCAGATAAAGGCTTTGTAAATAGATCAGCCAGTTGATGCCGGGATGGAACAAAAGATAGGCTAATCAAACCGGAAAGGAACTGTTGCCGCACGAAATGGCAATCTAACTCAACATGTTTGGTCCGTTCGTGAAAAACAGGGTTACGAACAATATGTATAGCGGCTTGACTGTCAGAGTGAATCGGAACAGGAAGAGGTGGTGAAGATGAAAGATCGTCAAGGAGACGAACTAGCCATGTGATTTTAGCTGTAACCCGTCAACGGTACTCTGCTTCAGCAGAGGAAAGGGAAACAGAAACTTGCTTTTTAGATTTCCACGAAATTGGTGCTCCCCAAGTGTCATGAAGAAACCACTGATAGACCTTCGAGATTCCTTGCAAGATGCCCAATCCGCGTCGCAAAAAGCGAGCAAATCAAAAGAGGGTTTTGAAGAAAGAAGAATCCCCTGGCCTGGATCTTGACTTAAATAGCGGAGAACACGCAATGCAACTGAGAAATGAGATGTACAAGGGCGTTGCATATATTGACTGAGAGAAAGAACAGCAAAACACAAATCCGGTCTTGTGTTGGTCAAAAAATTGAGCTTTCCAACGAGATGCCGATACACAGTAGGATCTGCTAAAAGAGGACCAGCATCTGCCTGCAATTTACATGTGGATCAAGTGGAGAAGTAACAGCAGCTCCAGAACAATCAAACTCTTGCAAGAGTTCCAAGGTATATTGTCGTTGACTGATAATGAATCCTTGTTTTTCTCGCAAAATTTCCATTCCCAGAAAGTAGTGTATATCCCCTAAATTTTTGACTTTGAACTCTGTATTTAGAAAATCAGTAATAGACTTGATTTTCTTGCAATCATCCCCAGTTAACAAAATGTCATCTACATAGACTGCAATAATAGAAACCAAATGCCCATTGCGTTTGAAGAATAGAGAATAGTCATTAAGCGAGCTAGAGTAACCTTTGTAACTGAGAGCTCCTACTAATCGAGCATACCATTGTCTAGAAGCTTGTTTTAGACCATATAACGATTTTCTCAAAAGACAAACCTGACTTGGCTTAGGGGGAGTCATCCCAGTAGGGAACCTCATGTAAACCTCCTCTTGTAAGTCGCCATGTAGAAAAACATTATTAACGTCAAGCTGGGAAACTGCCCAGTCTCGCTTGACTGCCACTGTGAGAAGACACCTTATTGTTGTCATTTTGACAACAGGTGAAAAAGTCTCAGAATAATCAATTCCCTCTCTTTGAATATCCCCCCTTACTACCAATCTTGCTTTTAACCTTTCCACTGAACCATCTGCTTTGTGTTTCACTTTATAAACCCATTTACAAGGCAATGGCTTCTTACCTGGTGGTAGGTCCACTACATCCCAGGTATGATTTTGTTCAAGAGCAGCAATTTCTTCTTGCATAGCTTTCTTCCATCCTGGATGATTAGAAGCTTGTGCAAAAGTGGTAGGTTCTGATATGGAATCCATTCCTTGTATAAGTTGCTGATTTTGAACTAATAAAGCCCCAAAAGAGAATATAGTTGGTTTAGAGGGTTGTGCAAGACAAGAATTGGTGAAATCTGAAAGATAGATGCTGCTGCATATGTAATCCTTGAGATATGCAGGTTTTTGACTAATCCTATCAGACTTTCTTAGAGGTGGTGATAAAACAGGAATAGGTGTGTGAGAAATGTGTTGTGGTGAAGGAGTGGGACTTTTGTATAAGGACTGATGTGGACTGCTGTGGGAATTTTGAGTAGGAAAAGGAGAAGAAGATGGACTAACATCAATATGTGAACTAGGCAAAGGTGAATCAGGAGGACTAGGAGGAGGGGAAATAGGACTGGAGGTAGCTTGGGAATCTGAGGTAGGATGAATATTTGTAGGAAGGACATTTTGAACTCCTGAATCTTGCACAACTGGAGTGTTAGGAAAAGGAGTGTTAGGTGAGTTGATGTTCAGTTGTTTGAAAGGAAAGTTGTTTTCATAGAATACAACATCTCTAGAAACAAAAACCTTGTTACTATTGAGCTCCAGAAGCTTATAACCTTTTTGGTTAGGCGCATAACCCAAAAACACACATTTGTTGGCTCTAGGATCAAATTTCCCTCTATTGTGTGCTAGAGTGGAAGCATAGCATAGACATCCAAAACACCTAAGGGAATCATAAACAGGTTTCTGCCCAAATAACATCTCATAGGGTGTTTTTCCTTTGATCACACTAGAAGGGAACCTGTTTATTAAATAAGTTGCAGTCAAGATGCATTCTCCCCAGTAAAGAATAGGGACTTGTGATTGGAAGAATAGACCTCTGGCAACCTCCAAGAGGTGTCTGTGCTTCCTTTCTACAACCCCATTTTGTTGTGGGGTTGCTACACAACTTCTTTCATGAATAATACCTTGGCTTTCAAGAAAAGCTGCTTCTTGACTTCCTCTCCCTAGCTCTAATGCATTATCTGATCTTATCCTTTTTACCTTCACATTGAACTGTCTTTCCAC